ATATATATATATATATATATATATATATATATATATATATATATATATATATATATATATATATATATATATATATATATATATATATATATATATATATAGTGCTGATGAGCAGGATGAAAGTAACTGCTATGTACAGTTACATTTGATGCCTCACGAATGTGGGACATCAAAACCATGCCAGAGCGCTCAAACTGCAAGCAGTGAGCGTGCGCAATGCGTAAGCCGCAATGGCTCATCCTGTAGAGCGCTCAATATGACCCAAAGGCCATAGAGTTGATTCCAGTTGATTCGATAATCGGTTCACACCTGTGATGATTTAGGACATAGACAATAGACCTTATGTATAATGACGTCACAGGGCTTGATGCCCGCGAGGAATGCTGGTGTTAGTAGTCATCGCTCGGGAAAATTTTGATAGTGGCCATTTTGAATTGTTTAATTTCCTGGGCGATGACTACTAAGACCAGCATTCCTCGAGGACATCAAGCCTTGTGTGACCTCATTATGTATAAGGTCTATTCTCCTATTTGGGACATAGACAATTCTCCAATCCTCAATATTCGAAGTGTTATAACTCGCGACCAAACTCACATTAAAACCTTTTTGGAAGCTATTTTTGCAAATACGAGTCGTGCGTAAGAGACATTCACGTGCATGATTTTTCCAGCTATTGTTTCTGTGATTTTTAACCATACATGCAATCAATACTATAAAAACAAACAAATCTCTAACTTTTAACGTTAATGTACATGGGCGTGAAGTATATGTATGTCAGTATGAGTTAGTCTCGAGTATTATGGTGATTCTACTGTACAAGTATGTATCCAAATGCAGCAGTGTCCTTATCATTTTTTGGATCAGTACAAAAGGCCATTATATTACCACACGCGGAATTCCTCACATCGCCATCACATCCACGTACCAAAGTACCGAAACCAATACACGAGTCACAACTTCCGCAACTCTCTTGATTATTCGCCACTAATCCAATCCGTACATTGTTGTAAGCAAATGCATATCTATCGACATTATTTTTGGTGACTATATTGAACCCTTCTCGATTACAGTTTTTTTGTAATGACGAACCATCGATAAGAGACTTCCATGCTTCCTTTCCAAAGTTTGTTTCTTTAAAAGTCCCGTTTTCGATTACACTGTGTAACGAGTTTGTGGTGTAGTTTGACGCTATCCATTTTGTAGCACCATTGACTTTCATTCCGAGGCATATTTTGTTAAACGGTGTGTTCCAATAAGATGCAAGTTTTGTTTGTTTTTCATTCAAACCTTCAAGTCCATCGTCAACTGCGTAGGGTACCTTGTTTGTCCAGTAAGGAGAGCTGTTGTTGAATTCATCCTGTAAATGAAAATGCTTTCTTATTTCTGTATAATTATTATTTATTATTTTTTTACTATCTATTGTGCTTAAAATTCATTTGTAACCAGGATAATTTTTACCCTGTTTCCATCCATTTTCATCACTAGTGTCCAGCCTCCTGTCCCGCATCCAGGTATTTCGGTCATGTGACAGTAAACTGAATATTCTTCCAGTGAATCATTATTTCGTAGTTTGTAAATACTGTTGGAGAGTGAGCTGAATAGAATATATAAGGATCAAGGAGTTATAGAAGTGTTGGGAAAATAATGTCGTAACAGATAACTAACTTTCTTAATACTTAACAGGTATATCTAAACTGTTATCCCTATAGAAGGCATTTATGTTAAAGTGTATATGCAATGAAAGTTTCCATTTTGTGATTTTTGCATTATCTGAAAATTTCATCTTTTCTGATCATTTTAATGCCAACCTTGTTGAAAACTTCGAACTAGAAGTTTGTGCATTTTGCGTTTAAAGTTGGGCTATGAAAATTTTAGCTGATGAACTCCTCGCGCGGCCAAGAGGTCATGCATGATGACGTATGCAGTGTGCCACAGTGCGCTCGTCCTAGTAAATACTATAAACAATGTAGCTTCAACTGCGTTGAACTGGGATTTTTTGATAATTTAAACAAAATCCAAATAAATCTGCCGTATGTAGATGCGATACATTGGTTAAATCAATGCAATGATATCACCATACGCCGATTTATCGCTTATAAGCCGCCGAAATGCGAAATCAATGCTGCATGTAGTAGCAATGTAGGTTTCAGATGTCGTTAGTTAATTGTGGCACATTGTAGAGTATTTTCGTTGTATATAGTCTATTGTGAATAGTTGGATATAGTTAGAATTTATACAGTTCTCACTATGACAGAATAGGCGAAATGAAATTAATTAAAGTAAACGAAGTTGAGTATACCGGAACGCAATAAACTATTAGGAATATATTATATAAGTACTATAAAAGTACCTCAGTTCGCACGTCATACAGAAAGCTCATTGCTTGTTTACGCTTCAAGTGTGTCATGTTTTCCGGCGTCCACTGGGTTTGCTGAAACGTGCCGTATCTATATACTGTTTGCGAGCAATTTATTCCTTAGTCACTGGTTGTGTACTATAGCTGCGTCAAATAGTGAATACTATTCTAGCCGTAATTAATTGATTCCTTTCTGGCCTTATCAGTCAAGAAATTATGTTTTCACAACAGGCGTATTAACCAGGAGGCCCGAGCGCACTATATATACTTCTTAGTCGATCATACTCACGCGAGTCCGAGTGAAGAACCATTTATTTGACTAGGTTAATGTATACTTATAATTTACAATACCAGTTTACGTAACATAGTGTACACTTTTTTATATCACGTTCTCAGTTCTCTGCTGTGATTATTTATATCCAGTGTTGCTTTGAGACGGATACCTCTTCCTGATTTCATAATACATGCATGCTGGAAGCGGTCTAGAGTTTTCCCATTAGTTTTCATTCAAGTATATAAACACTACGATGTGTCACACTGCATACGTCACAAGGCCGGAATTTTCGGTACCAGTCTTTCATCAGGTTACGATTCAAAATAGCTGTATTTGTCGTATATTTTAGGTCATTTTCAATACTTTTAGAGCGCTTTTACTACCAACTAAAAATATTTTTACCTAGTTAAGGGAGGTCATTTCTTTCCAAATTTCGAAATTTTTCATTTTTCCTTGCACATACACTTTAAGGTGTAGTGACATTATCAGGAAATTTCATACCTGTTTCTCTTCAGCACTTCCATACAAGATGGTAACAGTTCTTGAATTGCTAAAAGGGTGAATAGTATACAGTTTTGATCCAGAATGTTTGTCAAAATATATATATATATATGGTAACCTGCGATTGCATGCACAATGTTTCCACTTACGAAGTAATTTATGTTGGAACAATGTTTTCGAGCCATGCAGTTGTGCTGTTGCACGAAAGGGTGAGAGGTTGTTGCATGATGCGCGCACTTCGAACTTACTTTTGGATAAATGTTGTGATTTCGGTGGAGCGCTTGATGGAATTGTTTCCGGATATTTCTACAAATAAAGAAGTATGCAGCATTAATTAACATGTGTTTCTTAATATGTTTTCTTTAAACAAACATAAATAATTGCTCAGCAAATAAATGTTGCATGAACAAATTAAGTAGCATGCTGCTTCGTCTATAGGTATACTCATTGTACAATATATGTAGACTAGGTTAGAAAAGCTGTTTTAAAAAATATGAGCTCATTGTTATGCTCAACTTATATTTTTATGCTCAACTTATATATTACAAATGTGCTCAACTTATATTTTCAATTCAGAAATGTCGTCAAAATACTATAATTAATGTTTCAGTATTCTAACTTTATACTGTAGATATGTTATATGTATATATACAGTAAGTAAACATGCGCCAGCTTGAAAACTTAATCTATATATAGACGAACGGACGGACGGATATAGATATATGGTTTTATTCAATACCTTGACATTCAATTACTGAATTGATAAGGTTTACAGTTAATTAAAAAGAAGATTTTTCAGTTTACTAAGGTTTTATGTAAGGTTTTATAAGAATTAAAGTTCTATGCGGAATTCTAACATAGATGGGAATAATTCGATGATAAATTACCTTAAAATTTCACCCAATTTTT